CCTCAATAATAGATGTCCTAAAGGCAATCATGAGGGGGATAGAGTACACCGGTGAACACATCGTTCACAACACCTACAGGGTATGAACCTGCCAGCGTTCCACTGGACGGTCTAGAAAGAGTCCGTGGTCGTCATCCATACTCCGCTAGATGACTAGATCAACAACAACATCGAGGCCTCTCATCATTTTATTTTATCACACAACAACTGTCTACCCATGTTCTACCCAACATATTAGTAGATAAAAATATATACATTTATATACAGCTTAAAACATGTACAAATCATTCATTCAATAATTATTTCAAATAAGCAAATAATATACAAACACATAACACGTATTTTGTAGAGAATACTTCGTATCTATGTGTTAGAAGAAAATGAATATACACTCACTTGATCAGAAGATGATCGGACAGCACTACGGCTCTAAGAGTAGTATTCTTCGGTGAAACCGGGAGATCTTCACAAAAACCGGGCTTCTCGCGGGCAGAGTTTCGGCTTGGGAACTCTGTTTCTCGGGATCTTTGGGGCTTCGAGACTCGCTTCGGGTCTCGAGATGATATCGGGGCTTCGAGGGTATACTTTCACGTAAAAACGAGGTAATATGGGTGAGAGAGAAGAAATTTGGCAACCAAACTCGGCTGCACTTGTGATCTATTTATAGGGTGAATCTGGTCTCGAACGCAACGCGTTCCCTGAATGAACGCAGCGCGTTCCGCCGTGCGTCATGGCTTACGAACTTCGGACTTGACATGCGACGGGACAGGCTCTAGGCTCCGAACGCGGGGCGTTCCCTATTTGAACGCGGGGCGTTCCCCCTTTGGTAAGCGTGCCTCGAACTTCATAAATTCATATCTTTCGCATACGAGCTCCGTTTTTTACGTTCTTTATATCCACGCGAAGGTGAGATTATGCTCTACAACTGTCGTTTAGACTCCGTTGGCTAATTTTAACTTTATATTTATTATATTATTTTTAGTAGGCCCGGACAGGAAAACTCCGTTAGAAAATCATAACTCCTTCGTCTGACGTCCGTTTTCGTCTGTCTTTCCGTCGTTGCACTACTATCGATGAGATCTTCGATTCTCGTTTAGATTGTTTCGTCTAGAAATCACTCGATCTCATATTCGAACTTTGGGCTGTATACCGCTAAGTCGAAACTTCGAAAAATCATAACTTCCTCATACGAAGTCAGATTTAGACATTCTTTTCTTGCACGCTCTCGTTTTAACGTATTCTACGACTTTTGTTTAGATCACTAAGGCTAAATATCGCTCTAACGTAAATTCACGATTTACGTCGCGCAGTGTCGTACCGGTTCTGTCGCGAAACTTCGACAGGTCATAATTCCTTCGTTATAACTCGGATTTTGGCATTCTTTATATTTTCGGAAACCTTGCCACAACACTACGTCTTCATGTATCGATATCGGGTTTATCTAACATTTTATTTTATTGCTTATTTTTATTCTTAATTCATTTAAGGCACATAATTAAGCATAAAACACATAATACTCAAATAATACATTCTTATTATTTCAAAACGGGTTACAAAGGTTAACCTAGACTATTACATCGTTATTAATGCCTAGCCTAGAAACACGGACGTTACATCCAATCCGTCTTGAATGTCTGTTTAGTGATTTCCTGAGAATACATATAGTTTTGAGGGTCAACATGTAACACCCCGACTCCCAGGTATATATCTTTACAAGTCTATGTCCATATCAGAAGATATAGTCGACGAGTTGGTGCCTAGACTCGTCGAGTAGGGACACGATGGCCACGTGGTTTAAGTGACCAACTCGACGAGTCGGTGAACCCGACTCGGCGAGTTGGAGCTGGAATGAAAAACCCTAATCCCAGGGGTTTTGCACCCTAGTTAAAGGATCCTTTGCCCCTTAGCCTCCCCTTACAACCTCTTGTGAGTCCAGAAACCCTAATTCGTGTGTGTACTCCATTCTTATGTGATTTTCAAGCTTGGAAGGTGATTTGCAAGAAGAAGACTTGAAGTATAAGAGGAGTGGTGCAAGAGGAGCTAGTGGATCTGACCTTTCTGCTTATTGGCATCAGTTTAAAGGTAACAAGTTGTTACCTTGACCTTCTTCTATCTAGATCTATGCATGTTTGAGATTAGGGCTTTCCTAGCATGTATATTAGCCATTTTTTAGTATGGGCTAGGATCTGAAGTTGCAACTTCAGATATGAGTTTATCTTGGTCTCTATAGCTATAAAGTTTCCAACTTTGGCAAGTATGAACCTCCCCTTTTGAGTTAAACCACATTATAAGCTTAGATTTGATATTCTAATCCTTTAGAGCCTTGCATGCACGTAAAGTTTGCAACTTTACGTGATAAACATGCCTTGGGGAGCTTGATCTGCAATATGGAGCTTTGGGGTGGCTTAAAAGCATCTGAATGAAGAATGGACTGAAGGGACTCGACGACTTGCATGGCCAACTCGGCGAGTCCCGATGAAGATTGTCGTGCACGGAGTTATGCATGGACTCGGCGAGTCAGTTAGGGTTTTCGTGACTTTTAGACACGCATGAACTCAGCGAGTTATAGGGAAACTCGACGAGTCAACCGGGGATTTCACGATTTCTCAAGTTCAGGAAGGACTCGACGAGTCGGTGAACTGCACTCGACGAGTCGGGTCAACATGGACTGTTGACCTTGACTTTGACCAAGGATTGACTAGTTGACTCTGGGGTATTTTGATAAATTGGAAACTTATGGAAATGATATTATGGTAAATATAGGTGGTGGAGTTTGTGGCCGTGGTTTGAGAGTTTGCGTTTATCACTTCGATTCGTCAGTTGAGAGGTGAGTTATCCTCACTATATCAACAGGGTCTAAGGCACCAATGTCGGACCTTATCGGATTGTATCCGGGTTTATTGCATGATATGCTTATTGATTTACATCCTGGTAGTTAGGATGGTGATATGCTTAGTGACCTGGTTAGGTCGGTATCCTGGTATATAGGATGACGTTGTGTTAGTGACCGGTTAGGTCTGTGTCCTGGTTATAGGATGTTGCTATGATTGATGATTTGTTAGATCAATTGCCTGTTATATATGCTAGAGTATGATATTATGTGCACATGATTGTTTGATTGGGGATTGGGTTGAGGCGGTCCTGCTTTGTGCTGAAGGCCAACATGCCCAGGGCGGTCCGGATAGACTACAGGCCCAGGAGGGCTTGTTGATCAGACCGAAGGCCCGACGAGCGGTCCGGATAGGCTGTAGGCTGTGCTAGTCGGTCCAGACGTGCCGAAGGCTCGGAGAGCGGTCCAGATAGGCTGAAGGCCCGCGGGGCGGTCCAGTCAGGCTGATGGCTCATTATGCATGTTGTTTGCTTATATGTTTATATGATATGGTTATATCTGTATGGCGTTGGTATTTTGGGGGTAACTCATTAAGCCTTCGAGCTTACATTTATCGATTATTGTTTCAGGTACTTCTGATGATCGCGGGAAGGCGAAGGCGTGATCGTACCACTCCTCACACTTTATGATTTTATGTTTGATTCTTGGATACTCTGACAATATATACTATTTTGAAAACAAGTTTTGTAATAATCATGGGTTATGAAATTTTTTAAAAAGTTTAAATTTGGCATGATTTTTATGGATGTTACACAACACAAGGTTGGTGAGTGTTACAAGTTACCTGCTAACAACAATAATACTTTTAATAAGTTTAAAAAGTATTTTCTTTGTATGTATATCAATAGTTAAAAAAATGTTTGCAATGAGTCTTTAAAATCCAAAATGTATTTTTGTATAAGTAAATTCATACTTTAAACCGTGTTGTGTAATGAATCTTTGAATCTCCTTTAAAACCAAAGTATTATATTACATAAGTAATTCCATACTTAAAATAGTTTTGAAAGCAACCAAACCCATGGTTGGTAGTGAGAGAGAGAGAGAGATTATAGTTGATGTTTATAGTGAGTCCTATAACCGAGCTACGTGACAGAGTGTACCCCCTATAACTCTTCATTGGATGTTGCAGTAACGATTGTAGACGCTTATCACCCACTTCGATTGATCGATTAAGGTTATAGCTAGCAACCGCAGATAGGGATGTCAACCCCGTATAGATCTATACATATGTATCTCGCTACGAAGATTAACGGTTATAGTAGTATGAGTATGCTAAGTATTTAAACTCAGCTAATGAATAATGTCTCACTAAAAAGCCCTTAACTAAAAAGTTTGCGAATAATTCTTAGCGCTAACTTAATTGTGATTAAGTCACTAGGCATAATGAATATCATTGTATAAGGTTTATAAAATCCAAGTATGTTTAACTTTTATATAAAAGTGGAATGTGTTTGTCGCTTTTTATAAAAATGAATGTTTCAAATTAATGAACATATGTGCATGTATAAATGTTGTGTGCTTAAACATATAAATAAACATGCATAGTAATAGCTTGAATCCTTGAAATAATACAGAGTTTCATAACGTGCTTGTTATAATATGCAATATATAATTTTCTATCATGTAGTATTTGTTATGTGAACCGGTTATTTCATGATAAAATAACCATAATACGTATATGAAAAGTTTATACTAGTTTATTTGTAACAATAGGGTAAATTGTTAAATAATAATATTTTTATAAACTAGATTTATTGTATATTCGCATAAAAATGAAATTGATTTGTATAAACAAAATATTTAGACACATGTATTCCCTTCTGAAATACTTAAAATATTCAAAATGGGTCGTAAGCATTCACCCTTGAAACGTGAGTTCTAATCGTTCGAATTCGTTTTCTTTGAGAAACTTGACATGAGAAACCGCAAATCCACAATTCTTGAATTTTTGAAATACTTTCGGGTCCATTTCGTAACGAATCTAAACTTTTGGGGGATGATTTGTAACTTCACTAAAGTATAGAGGCTTTTTGGTAATTTAATTAAATGGTTAGGACAATTTTGGTAAAAAAAATAAATACAAAAAATACAAAACGAGCGGTTGTTTTAAACAATTGGGTTCAATAATTGGGGTTGGGACTGATTTTGAATACATGGTTTAATACGGAGGACATTTTGGTCATTTCCTAATTAAAATGACTTGGGGCTTTTTAAATCCACCGTGCGTTTTCTTTGTTTGATCGGGCATATGAAGGAAAAGGGGATACGAATCGAACGCCAAAGAAGTGAACGAAAACGGGAGATGGAGGCTCGCAAGATGCTTAATCCGGATTTGCTTGATCAATCGTTCGCGAAGGGGGATGTCATCTCCGGTGTTTGACGAGGCCGAAGGAGAAAAAGAGAGGGGAGGCAGCCTCAGCGAGGCTGCCTTCGTCCTCGGCTGGCCTTGAGATGCGAAAGAGAGAAGGGTCCGATGGGGCAAAGCAGTCAGCGACGGCAGGGGTGATTTGGACCTGCTGTGAAATCGGCGAAGGTAAGGGACGACCAAGAGGGATGCGAGGGCAAAAGAGGTGGTTCGGTGGGAGGAATTGGTGATAGTAGCAGCTCGAGTGGGGCGTTTGGTTGCTTGATCGAATGGGAGAAAGGGAGGTTATATGGGGTTCTTGATTGATTGAAGAGGGAAGATATCTGAACGAAAGTATAAAGAACGAAGGCAGCAGGATAGTCATCGACCATGGCAGCTAGGGCGTTTGGGTGGTTCTTCTTCAACAGGAAAAATGAACGAGATCAGCAACAGGTAACCTTCTTGCTTCAATTTTTTTTTTCTTTTTTTTTTCTTTTTTTGTGTGATTTGTAATCCACATAAATGATGATGAAACAGGCAGAAATTTCGATCAAAGGGTTTTTTTGGTTTGTTTCATTTGACAGGGAAGTGAAAGAGAAGAAGAACATAATGAATCTCTTTTTTTTTTTTTTGAATGTTTGGTTGTTTTGGGCATAAATCAATGGAAGATAATTGTGTTTGGTTGCTTGAAATTGACAGGAAAAAGAAGAAGAAAGCCTGGATGCGAATTTCATATCACTGGGTTCTTTCCCTTTCTTCACCATGGTTAAAAAGAAAAAACGAGAGGAAGGGTGATGGAGTACCACAGTTAGAAAAAAATTTGAGTGTAAGGGAAGTTTGAGTGTGCCGGCGGGTAACACGAAAGTTGGAAGCAACCTAAATTTGGCTTTCATATTTTGATATTTTGTTATTATTATTTTTTTTTTTTGTGTACAATTTATTTGATTTTTTATGTGATCTGTATTATCATATTTGGGTAGATTTTTAACATGATTTTGATTGAAGATTGTTGCGTGTAATTCTCTCTTAAGTAAGATGTACACACTCTGAAAAATTGTACCATAATTGATATTTCGAGGGATAGAGGATAGACTTGTGAGATAGAAGAGAAAAAGTGTTGGCTGGTCAATTACTAGAAATTACAAGCATTGTATTAGTTTAATAAGTATGTATTAGTGTATTGCTTTAAATGAATATTTGAGTCAAAATATATGAAGTATGGTACCAAAATGTGTAATGTCGTACTTGTGGCATTTAAAATGTTACAAATCAATTTTTCTCGATTTTTGTGTCATCGATCCTGATTTTAAATACTTTTCTAAAAATGGTGAATGATAGAGTTTAGTTCAAGAATTTCAAAAATAAAAACGGATTAATTTACCGAGTTATAGAACTCAGTGAAATCGCGTTTAATTAAGCTGAAAATGTCTGATTTTTGACTTTTATAAATATTTTTATGAAAATATTTCAAATATGAAATTAAATATTAGGCAATAGTCTGAGTCAAAAATGTTTTCGAAATTTCCATTTGAGGTGTGAAGTCCCTCAACGGATAGAAACGGTTTTAGCGGTTTTAAGAAAATCAGTATTATACTGGTTTTGGATTTTTAAAACGGTCGTATCTTTTTTATACGAACTCCGTTTTGGACGTTCTTTATATTTTCAGAATCAGGGAAACACGTACTACAAGGCTAGAGTATTTGTTTTTCTCACAACGACTTAATATGAAATAAGATACCATCCGGTCACAAGCATGATTATTCCTTCTTCGAACTCGGAAAACTGAAAGGGAGAAATCTCCGCTATAGATAGCGACATTCCAATCCTTCAATCAACCACTCACTTCCAGCTGCAATCCCCTAGCCAATCACAACAAATGTTTCCTTCTTGAGTCTTGTGACTAGAATATACGGTCTCGAGCAAAACCCTCGAGACCTCAAAACCAACCAACTCATCTAGGTATGCACCACTCAACCCAAATCGATACCGCAACTAGAGCACAAAACAACTACCAGACCTATCCTCATGTCTGAGCATCCCTACCACAAGATCGACAGATACAGAACTACTGCCACGAATCATGGTATCAAACCATGCTATCTTTCCCGACCAGCCCTTAGAATCCCCAAAACTCTCCTCGATTTGAGTATGGATCCTGTGCTTCAAGTAGTACGGGCCCAATACCACCTTCCACACCTATCCATACTTTCCTCAAGAAGCATACTAGGTCCTCTAACACCTACTAAAAAATACTCTTGATACCTGATCAACAGCGAAACAACCGCACTAAAATACTTCCTAGATTCTCCTAGGATTCCCCCCCCCCCCCCCCCCCCCACCACTTCCCCTTCCATCAACTACTGAAGGAATCCAATCAATGTCAGCCACCCACTTCATGAATACAATTACATGCAAAAAACTTAAATAATCTTTCGACTAAAGGACCCAACCCTACAACGGTTAGACTCAAACGAGAGTTGCGCAATAGGGCCAAATCCTTCACTCTAATATTATTTAAGCTCTATAGCATGTAACTTTATGTATTCATTTAATAGTTAGCTCACATCAATATGGGTCCCATAAAGCACAAAACAAGCAACATTCGAGCAGAGGAGCTGACTGGCACTAAGATACAATAAAAATCAGACAGGTCCTCAAACGAAATTCTCGATCGCTATGTCCTAGCATCTCGGATGCACCTTCTCCCTACCCTCACTCAATCGAGAGTGGCTAATCATTCCTCACGCTGACCCGCTATGAACTACACCCACTCATGAAATTTCCAGCAACCTTACATCACTCGTGTATGCTAATCATACATAACACCAAATCCTATAGACAGACGGATATTCGATTCTACCCTAAGCCCTTCATCAAACAAGAACAGGAAACAAGGCCAAACCAAACATTCTCAGGCTATAAAGTCTTAGTTATGTACAAATATGATGCATACACTAAGCAACTATAGTAATGATGTCAATTTCATATAAGGAAGACCCTACCCTATCATGCATCATATAATCAGGCAATTCTATCTTGCAATTCCTGAAGATCCCTAACCTATCAATAGCATGCAATTCTAACATATCATAATATCAAATATCAGTGTGGTAATTTGGGGTCTACTTACTGGCTCCGACTGATCGTACACATCACATCCTCTTTTGGTTATTTTTGAAAGCAACTGTGAAAATTATTTTTAAAACCCTTACTTCGAAAATCATTTTTAAAACCCTTTTTCCTTAGTTTGAGACTGGATTCACATGAGTGTTCCTCCAATTCACTCAAAACCAAGGCTCTGATACCAACTTGTAACATCCCAAAAATTTCAACAAATTTAAACTTTTCAAAACAACCCATTTACTAATAAAAGTATTTACCAAATCATTATTACCAAAACATTATTTAAAAATGTTGAGAATAAATCCGAGATGACGAATGCGGAATATCAAGAACAATCAAGAATCAATCACCATCATATGCAACGAATCTGATAAAGGTTTTGTGTATATGGATATGGATCTGAACGTATAAAGAAAACCCTAATTAGGAAAAAGCTTCTATCAAAAGCTAACCTAATGATTATTTATAGGGAACATAAAATATTTACCAAAAATATAAAACCAATGCCTTAATATAAAACCAATTTCTTAGAAGAGCTCGATGAAGAACTTCTACTGTAAAGGCACCGTAGGGAATCATAAAACGATTAACCCTAAAAAAAGGCTTCCCTAAATAACCAAACATGCCAAATCAGTTTTAATATCTCAAATACTCAACAATCTCCCCCTAAATGTTGAAACTAATGAAGATCACGATTTTCAATCTTCTTGGCATTTCTCTCCCTAAATTGTGACACTCATAAGCACATGTGGTCTTCAAAGCGAGAGAAACAAATATCATCTTCCAAAAGCGGACTCCCCCTTGAATCTTCAATAAATACCATGGATAGAATCCAGAAAGTTAAGATGAATCACCAACAATCTTCAAAACCCGTCAGATTGGATGAAATAAATCCTATTAGAATATACCCAATTCTCAAAAAATTAAAACCGGAAAAATAACAAAAACTAATTTGTATTTTTCGGTTTTTAAATATTAGACAAAAAGAATAGAACAATAAGCAATTATTTAGAGGGGTTTGAAAAGAATAAGACCACAGAAAAGGATAAGAATTGAAAATATTTTGGAAAAAGGGGTTAAAATGGTAAAATCCAAGAATTGTAAAGAATTTTGGATTTGGGGTTGAAACTATGAAGATCTGAAAGAATGGGGACTGATTTTGAAAAATTGTCATATTCTTCAATTAAATCAGTTAAGAAGCGTTCATTGACTTTTGAAAGTCAAAACCAGATAATCGATTGAAATAATTCCGAGCAGCCTTCATGTAATCACGATTTCAGATGATGATGTTGTCGAGAACCAAATTAGGAACACTAAGGTCGAACTTCAATTTCTGAAACAATTAATTATGATTCCCATTCGTTTGTAACAGATTGCTATTGAATTTCTGGTTTAAACTTCCGATCGAGATTTTGGTTCCGATTTTCGTGAATTCCGATTCGTAATAGCGTAAATCAACAATAAGATTCCAAGATCGAACATATTTCATAGAATTGTTATCAATATAAACTCTGACTTTGAAGTTCTGATTGTCGTTTCCAAAATCCATTTCGGTTTTGATGCTCGAAATTCCGATTTCAAGAACTTCAATTCCGAGCAGATAGTACTAACGTCAAAGTGAGTTACGAATCCGAACCCAGAACTCCGAATCGATTGCAATTTGTGTTATAGTTGCGAATCTGATTCCTTCCGAGCCTAAAACTGCGAACGACAGAACTACGAACGACTGCGAACGCTCGGAGATGAACAGTAGATTCGTATTCGTAGCTTCAGATTCCGATTTCGTTTTGCGAGTTCCTTGTTGATTTTCGATTGCGAGAGAGTTGAAGCTCCAAATCTGATTTTGGTTCTTCAACGTCGTTTTACTGGAACTAACTTATTAACTTAAGCAATTGGCCAAACCTCCGAAAACATCCCTCATAATTGAAAGAAATGGCAGATTATGCCCTTAACTCCGAAACTAACCAATTTTGTGTATTATTCCGAATCTGACCCTTTATTATTCCATAACTGCGACTCTGACCCTCCTGTTACAGTACATTGATAGCTTGCACCCCTTTTCCTTAAATGTGTCAGATGACAGCCATCTTTTTGCAGAAAATGTCTTTTTTCACCCACTTTTTCAACTTTTTCAGCCTTTTGTCATTCCAACAATTAAAAATCAATAAAAATTGATTCCTTCAACAAGATTTCATCCTTTTGACTCAAAATTCATCAGCTTTCACCAGATTTTGTCCCATTTTTCGATTTTTTTTTATAAAGGACAAAACTTTTATGAAACTTTTGATATCCATTTAAGATTCAAGATTGAAGTTGGTTTCTTGCACACCCATTTATTTGAAGAAAACTGATCATCTTCTGAAAATAATACCCGCTTTTTAGTTGGAAAACAAAAATTCCCAAAAACTTCATTAAACCAACCAAATACTTTTTTCTCTTTCCTCCAACTTCTAACATCTTTATCTGAAGAAAAACTGAATTTTCTTTGAACATTCTTGACTTCAGCTTTCTGAACCTTTTCACATGCATTAGGTACTTGTACCTTGGGCATCCAAACCTTCTTCATTTTACTCTTGTTCTTCTTGTTCTTCTTGTTCTTCTTCTTCTTTCTTTTCTGATTTCTAGGCTTTAGAAACGAATTTTGGATTTAAACAACCTCTTCATCTTTCTGAATCTGAACATTAGAAACCTTTGGTACACTAACTTTTGGAGTTTGATAAATCTGAACATCTTGAAGTATTGACTTTCTGTAAAGAATCATTCCTTCAAAAACATCATCAGAACATAAAAAGTCATCTGTTTGAGTT